TTTCTCTGATTTTTATTTTATTCCTATGGTTTGGTGAGTGTTCGTGGTAAAAAAAAAGCGTAACGGAGCGCAGACACCTCGGTTTTTGGGCTGAAGTGGTGTGGTTGGTGGTGGCGCAGCAAGGCGACAAAGATTGCTTCAGATGCGTCATCAGGCCGAAAAGTGGAGCAGCGTGAACAAGGCTGTTGGCGGTAATGGTAAGAAGCGTACTGCGTTGCCGCAGCATCCGCAGCATCCACAGCAGGCGGCTTTTGCAGCTGCGGCATCGTTTGCGTCGCTGCAGCGGGATTTGTCCCAGAAACCGTGAGGCACAGACGCGGGTGACAGGCAGGCGGTGACCTCCGGTGTTGCTCTGTCTCATGATGGCAATCCCAAATTCATGGCTCGCAGGGTGCGGATTTTTGACGACATCAGTACCTCGTTCTAGTCTTTTTCTACGGAGGGCGAAAGAGCCTGCAGGATCGAATGAGGGAAGCCCTGTGCGCAAGGAAACGTTACGGCCCCCTAAGGAGAGCGTTAAGGCGGAAGAAAATAAGGAGCGTGCGTTTTGGCCAGCACCGCCCTCATTTTCCACTCACGACGCGGCGAGTGCTTTCTCAATTTCTGTGGGTTTCAATCAAGAGAGTCTCTCCGTCAACAATCCAGTATGTGACGTGCTACCCGCACGGGCGGAGGTGAATCCAACATTAGAAACCAAAACGGATGACTGGCAAGGTGACCCGCCGAGAGGCCGTGAGAATGCGCGGGATGACGATGGTGTGCTGAGGATGTGCAGGACGATAAAGAAACGCTTGGAGAATCTGTGGGAATTTGGACGGGATACGAATACACGTGTTCTTGCGATACTTTTCTCTGCAGCTTCGGCCTTTGTATTGACTGTTGTAGGGGCGCCGCTCTCTCAGGTAGATGTGGTGGGTGGTGCTTGCTACACGTACTGGGGCTACAAGGAGGACTGCGACAGCCCCATTTACACCAATCGCACCTCCTTAATCACCTGCGAGCCTGTCCGGAAAAGACTCCAGGTGGGAGCTGCCTTGAGTTTAATGACGATTATTGTTCTCTTTGCAGTGGTGTGCTGTGGCCTGCTTCTGCGTCAGGATTTGTCGAAGCTGCGCCTGTTTGTTCTCTTACTGTTGTTCATCGCTTTCGTGTTTCAGATGATTTCGTGGGCTGCAGTAACCAGTATATTCGAGAGTCGGTACTGCGAGGACGCACGGCTGCCACGGAGAACGGCGTACGGCGTTGCCTTTGGCATGACTTTGACCTCGTGGTTTTTTATCATTGGTGGGGGCCTTGCTTGTGCCTTGCTGCATGTTTATTAAACGTGCGATTGCCACGAAGTAGAATTTCCTTCAAAGCGCTCATGGACGGTCGCACAGAGAGCAGTAATCGCACGTATGCCGAAGCTTCCTCCCGTGAAGAAGAACGTGGCCAGCAGCAGAGCCGAGATGTAGCAGTGTCCTCTACTTCCAAGTGGTGCATCGTTGGAGTCTTAGCTGCTGCGCTGCTGTGCGAGATGGTCTGCTGGGTAATGTCAGCCTGCACATACACCTCTCGCTACTGTGAGAACAAGGCCCTACCCCGCACCACGACCTACGGCGTGGGATTCGGCCTGTTGATGGCCGGGTGGACAGTGGGGCTCATCGCGTTGGTATTGTTTGTTCTTGTAGTCTAAGGCACTTCCTCGAGTAGATAAGGAAGCTGGAAATACAAAACAAATGTTGGGGCGTAGCGCGTCCCTTCGTTCCAAGTTTTTATTTTATTTTTATTTTTATTTTTATTTTTATTTTTTTTTATTTTTGTTTTATTTTTATTTTTATTTTTATTTTATTTGTCGTAGAAA